GGGGGGACCTCATGACTTCCTCAGGGCTTGCTCCAGCTACTTTTGCCTTCTTCATTAAGGATACCCTCTCTGTTCAGGCAGGTGCAGTATAAGCCCCTGGGATGTCAGTCTGCGGCGCACTGGGATGCAGGGTGCCAACAACTAGTGGAAGCATAGGACAGGGGGAGGTCTGGATGCTGGAAGTGATGGGACTGCCCTTTCCCATCGCTGACTCAGGCCTTGGAGGGTTTTGCTGCAGTCCAGTCTTTCACACCATCCACACCTGCCTGCCCTCTCCTTTTTTATTTTTCTTCCTTCCTTCCAGGTTAAGCGAACTCTCTTCATCAATGGGATCTCAAAATATGCTGAGCCAGAGAAGATCAAGAAGCATTTCGAGTGAGTCTCACTGTGTACCTAATGAAAGGCTGCTCTGTAACAGGGGTGGTTTTATTTGGGTAGTGCTAGCATTATCTGGAATGGCAATAGTACATCAAGAGCAAAAAGCTAGTCTAAATTGGTGAACGCTTTTATTTTGGTCATCTCACTGTTATTTTTCTGCACAATTTTTTATCTGAATGTGCAGTGTCCTTAGTTTTGTGCCTGGGGATACACCCAGCTAACTCTTGCAGAGCCATAGAGGGTCAGTGTGGGAAGTAGTGGACAGAGTGTGTCCTGAAAGGTAGTCGAGCTCAGAGATGAGATCCAGGCAGGAGTCGCTCAGGCAGTAACTATGGGATGTTGTGCTGCTGCTTCTGCCCTGATCACAGTCCTTGTGGAAAAGTATATTTTTCTTTTTAATAAAAAAAACAAAGTTTCTCTTCCTTCAGGACTTCAATGAACACGCTGTGAGGGCCATGTTTAGAAGCAGCATAGAGAGAGGAGAAATGTTTTGTACCCTTTGGGAGTCCTTCTGACCCCAAGCCCTGTGGCCCATGAAAGCAGAGAGGAGTTGTGGGGTCCTGGTCCTTGCTGCCACAGGACAAACATCTGAAGATGCTCCTCGTGCATCCGGAGGATGTAGTGTTTGCCTCATGTGTGTCTTCTGCTATAAGGGACAGAGCCTGCAGGCTACCCTGCTGCCCCCAGCAAGCTCTTGCTGTGCGTCATGACGCTCAGCCCAGGGCAGGAGAGAAGTCCTGGATGCGTGTGGTTTGCTTGAGGGTACAGCCTTTGGTGCCAGGTGTGATGAGCTGATGCTTCCCATCCACAGGGAGGCCTATGCCAACTGCACCGTCCTGGAGGCCCGACCCTGCTATGACGTGGCCCGACTGATGTTCCTCGACGCAGAGAGGTAACCCCTGATTTGGGAGAGAAGTCAGGGTAGGCCAATGCCGTAGGCTCTCCCTCAAGTCTGGTGCCAGAGGAGTTTTTCTGAGCTGCTCTCTTTCTTTCTTTCCTTCCTTCTCTTCTGCTGTCCTGTTTCAGGAAGAAAGCTGAGCGTGGGCGAATCTACTTCACCAACTTGCAGAGCAAGGAGAACACACCATCCATGATCAACCCCAAGCCCTGTGGCCACCTGTGCTGCTGTGTCATCAGGGGCTGCGAGGAGGTGGGGGGAGAACCAGAGATGTTTGGTGGTGGGGCATGCCAGGGCTTGGGTCCCCATGTTTCTGCTCTGACCCCTGTTCCCTTTCCTAGGTGGAGGCCATTGAGTACTATACCAAGCTGGAGGAGAAGCTCAAAGATGACTACAAGCGGGAGAAGGAGAAGGTGAATGAAAAGCCTCTGGGGATGGCCTTTGTCACCTTCCACAATGAGACCATCACAGCCATGTGAGTGTAAAAGGTCCTGTCTTTCATGGGAAGGTGACCTGTCCCAGCTCTTGCCTCAAATCAGAGGAATGTCAGCACTAAGGCATCCCCCTTAGCTTGTCCCAGACAGCCCTCTGTGTCAGCATCTCCCTCTTTCTCTTCTTCTCCAGAATCCTCAAAGATTTCAACGCTTGTAAGTGCCAGGGCTGTGCATGCCGTGGGGAGCCCAGGGCCTCCTCCTGCAGCGAATCCCTCCACGTCTCCAACTGGACCGTCAGCTATGCCCCTGACCCGCAGAATATCTACTGGTGAGCAGCTCTGTGGGGCTTAGTGGGCCCTGGTGATGGGAAAGGGGTGCACCTTCCCTGTCTCCTTCTCCATCTGCTCCTCTGGTAACTGAATGAGTTGTTCTTGCTGAAGCCCAGCCTGGCTGAGCTAGAAGTCTGATGTGACCTGGAGAGGGAAAGCCTTGGGCTGGCACCTCAAGTGCTGTTCACGCAGGCTGGGCCATGGTGTGCACGTGAGGCTCTGGACCTGCCCTTCTGCCCCATGCAGCCATCCTGATGCCTTCCTTACCCCTTCCCAGGGAACACCTCTCCATCCGGGGCTTCATCTGGTGGATCCGCTGCCTCGTGATCAATGTGGTCCTCTTCATTCTCCTCTTCTTCCTCACCACCCCTGCTATCATCATCACCACTATGGACAAGTTCAATGTCACTAAGCCTGTGGAGTACCTCAATGTAAGGCCTTCGGAGACAGGTGCAGGATGGGTCGCATGGAAACCTCTCCAGGGCACAACAGCCCCTGCAAGGGAGGGGGTAGGGAGAGAGGTTATCAGTGCTCCCCAGGTCCTGTCAGCCTGACCAGGAGGGATGTGTTGAGCCTGGCCAGGGTGCAGTGGCAGCCACGGTGCTGAGGACTCAGCATCAGCAAAAGCAGCTGTACCTGTGGCTGGTGCGAGAGCTGACGTACCGTGTAGTACACAATCTCTTCTTTCCCTCGTTACAGAACCCCATCATCACCCAGTTCTTCCCTACCCTACTGCTGTGGTGCTTCTCTGCTCTGCTGCCCACCATCGTGTATTACTCTGCCTTCTTCGAAGCGCACTGGACCAGGTAAGGACTACCAGCACCTGCGCTTAGCCATACCAGCATGCTGCCTGGCCATTAGACATTTCTCGCTAACGTAAAGCTCCTGGCTGGATCCCTTCTGCTTGAACTGTCTTCCCCTCCAAACGTGGTGTTACATTGCCCCTCTTGGACATTTGGCATCTGCTGTGGACAGCTGTTCTGCCAATCTGCATGGTTGTCTGAGCAGAGCTTGACATAGGTCTACAAGAAGTAGAAAGCTGGAAGGAGTTGGGGCTGGTCACTGAGAAATGCTAGTGGCAAGGGAAGTTGTGGCTCAGGTGAGTCAGGAGTGGGCAGGGGTGGTGTGCCTGTACCCATGTGCAAATCATAGCTTTTCCAAGGGAAAATTGCCTTAGCTGCTATGGCTTCTGGCCACAGGGAAGGTATTTGAAGTGCAGAGCGCTAGAAATGTGCTGCTTGTGAGGCACATTCCCCACAGCATGTGCGATGTAAGCTTTGTTTTCTGTTCTATGTTGCAAACACCGGTGAGGACAGTGTCACCAGCTTTGAGGATTGCAGGTCAAGAGAGATGATTGCGGAGAGTCCTCTAAAGATAAGAGGGCCGGGAGGGCCTGTGAGACAAGTGAGGGAAGGAACTGGGACTCGAGAACAGACCTCAGGCACCCTGGAGGGGAAGGGGACGTATTAATGTACCAGCAGTGGACAGAGTGGAATTCAGATTGGACACTGGGAAGTACTTTCTGATGAGAAAGCGATGGGGGCACCGCTCCTGCGGCTGGTGGGGCAACAGTGAAAGATTTAACAGCCTCCTCTCTGCCTTCAGGTCTGGAGAGAACAGGACGACCATGCACAAGTGTTACACCTTTCTCATCTTCATGGTCTTGCTGCTGCCATCGCTGGGCCTGAGCAGGTAGGCGTGGTGGGAAGGGAAAGCAAGTGTAGAGACCTGGAGCACGGGGACAGTTGAGATGTACCCATGGTTGTTGTTCTCCTACACTACATCCTTTCCCAGACGCAGGAGTGACCTGGCCACCATCCCCTTGGGAAGGTGATGTTTCATTCTGGTTGGGGAGCCAGGCCAGACCATACCTGGCTGGGTCTCTAGAGCTTATTAAATCAGTCTGCAGACAGGCTGACATGTGCCGTGGTGTTACAAATAATGCTGCAAAAACTGGCACGGTCGATGGACGCATGTGAAAAATCTGCTCGAGGTCTGCTGGTGAGGGAGGCACTCCCCACCTCTGTGCTCAGGGAGCACTCTGAATTTTGCACAAAACTAGGGAATTCCCCATTTCAGCCAGAACTGCTGGGGTGAATGGTTATGTGTAGACTGCATCAATGCTCATCTGTTTAAATGATAGTCCCAAATCTTCCTGCAGGAGTTATAGAAATGCCCTGTCGCAAACAGTGGTGCGTCAGCTGCTGGCTGTCAACATGAGCTCCCAGCACCGAACAGTGGCCGAGTAGGGAAATAATGTGAGGAAGGAAAAACTGGAAGGTGGGAGTGGGACAGGGTGTCCTCGCTGTAGTAGGGAGTTACTTACACATTGTAGTGTGGGAGATCTGTACCCCCCTAAATTCAGGATTTGGGTTACAGCCCTGCAGTGGTGAAGTCAGGCAGCTCCTGAGAATAGACAAACCCTCTGATAGAATCAGAATAATAGTCCTCCATCCTAGTGGGTGACTGCAGCAATGTTTCCCAGCGAGATTAAAACTTTTTTCCATATAACCTTACAACCTAGACAGGTAAATGTTCTCAGAAGGTTGGCTTTTTGACCAGATACCATTAAACAGACTGTACTTCCTTCTGAGAACTCGGACCAGCTGCTGTTGCCTCTGGAGCTCTGTACTCCACTGGTACCTGAGATGCCAGAGAATTGGACAGTTCTATATCAAAAAATTAAAACTGAGGAAAATGGGATTTGTTTCTCCTAAGGGATTTTTTTTTTTTTTTAATCTCAGTGTTGGAGGGTACTTTGTACCTAGCCAGTTTCTTCTGTAGAGTCAGTCACCTGTTCCTGGCATGGACGTTGTGCTCTAAAAGAGAGGAGAGGAAGATACTTTACTAATAGGACTGGGGCAAAGGGAGAGGACACATGAGAGTAGGAAGCTTTATGTCCCTCTTCGGGTGCTGCAGTCTTTTTCCCAGTGTCTGATTTACATAATTGCTGGTTACACATCCCAAGAGGGAACAAAAGAGTCTATGGTCAGAGCTTTGGGTCTTTCTTAGAGCAGCTTCCACATATTTGCATGTGTATGTCTGTATGGATGCTTCTGACTGTTCCTCTTTCCTTCTTGCCCCCCTCCCCCACAGCTTGGATGTGTTTTTCCGCTGGCTGTTTGACAAAAAATTCCTCGCTGAAGCTGCTGTTCGATTCGAGTAAGTGAATTTGGGCAGAAGGCCCTTCTTGGCGATAGGGGAAGGTTCTTATTGGTGTCCAAAGGTACTGGGGGCTTCCGGCTGTTGCCCTGTGAGGGAGAAGCACCTCCTGCAGCCTACTCTCACTGCACCTCCCCAGGTGTGTGTTCCTGCCAGACAATGGGGCCTTCTTTGTCAACTACGTCATCGCCTCTGCCTTCATCGGGAATGCCATGGACCTGCTGCGCATCCCCGGCTTGCTCATGTACATGATACGCCTCTGCCTGGCCCGCTCGGCCGCTGAGCGGAGGAACGTCAAACGAGTATGTAGCAGGGCTGAGAGGGTGGGCTGTGGTCTCCACCTGGGGATGGGAGTGCTGCGACGGAGCCCAGAAGGGGCTCGCCTGATGCTGTGTGTACAACTGGGTGTGGTGCACACCCCCACTTAGCTCCCAGAGCTGTGCTGATGGGTCTCTGTTCCCTCTTGCAGCACCAGGCCTACGAGTTCCAGTTTGGGGCTGCTTACGCCTGGATGATGTGCGTATTCACTGTGGTCATGACATACAGCATCACCTGTCCCATCATCGTCCCTTTTGGTAAGTGATCCCGCTCCACCTCCCTGTGTCAGAGGCTGGGGAGAACTCGAGGGAGGGAGGCAAGAAGGGTGGTGTGGGGGAGATATCCCCTGTCACTCAGAGGTGCTGGGAAAGAGGCTGATTCCCCACTCTGCTGGCATCCTTCCCTTTCTACCAGGGCTCATGTACATGCTGCTTAAGCACTTGGTGGACCGATACAACCTGTATTACGCTTACCTGCCTGCTAAGCTGGACAAGAAGATTCATTCAGGGGCTGTGAACCAGGTGGTGGCAGCCCCCATCCTCTGCCTCTTCTGGCTTCTCTTCTTCTCCACGATGCGCACAGGTGAGCGCTGGGCTGGGATGCCAGCTCCTGACCTTCTACAGAGCTGTTTCCCTGGCCAGGCTGTGATCTTGGCAGTCCCCAGCCACAGGACACGGTCAGCGTCCCTCTGACACCGCTTCGGTTTTCCTTTGCCCCAGGGTTCCTGGCCCCCACTTCCATGTTCACCTTTGTGGTCCTTGTGATCACCATTGTGATCTGCCTGTGTCACGTCTGCTTCGGGCACTTCAAATACCTCAGCGCTCACAACTACAAGGTGAGATGGCGTGCTGGGTGGGAGTATAGGACCCTTCTCCTTGGGAGCACAGCTCAGCTGCAGAACAGCAGGGTCTCTAGCAGGGGGTCCTAGCCTGCTCCCTGGTAGAGCCTCTGAACCCTGGCTTCACAGAGGGGACAGTCCCAAGGCTCTCCCTGCTGCCTGTATGCTGCTCCTATGACGGGACAGCAAACATGTTGCCCCAGCAGTCTCTCAATTCATCCTTTTCTCTCCAGATTGACCACACAGAGGTGGACACTATAGACAACAGGCAGAATGGGAGACCTGCCACCAGCCTGCCAGCTCCCAGATCAGCGGTGAGTCCTTGTCCCCACCTCCATGACCTGGCGCGCTCCTTACCCGGGTTTGGGAAGGGGGAGGTAACTCCCTCTCCGAGTATCTCTCCTCGCCTCTCTGAGGCAGCACTTGGAGTCTCCCAGCGAGAATGGGAGCCAAATATTGGGTGCTGTGCCCCCTGAGCTGGGTGACGAAGTGTAGCCCCCTGCCCCATCCCACACACACAACCCTAACCCACTGCTCAGATGCTGTGCATTTACTTTCTGCCTCTTTCTTGGCTGGGACAGTGAATCCGGCTGGGTCAGTCTCCTTTCTCATTCTGCATCTTTGCACGCTTGCCTGTCAGCAAAGGCTGTCACCCACTGGGCTGGTCCTGGTGCCGGTGCAAAGAGGTCTCTATGGGCATTGCCTTGAAGGCCATGAAAGTGCTTTGGGAACTCTCCCTTCCCCTGCCTAACTCTTTGAGATCCCAGATCCAGTTTTCTGAACTTCTCCTTGGCTCACTGGCTTGTTCCAGCTGCTTCCTTCCACCATGAGATTGTTCTAGTTGGGGTCTAGACGCTGTGCAGAGCAGTTCAGGGAGTACACGCAGAGATGGGGTAAAGCAGAGCCTCCTGCTTCCTCAGGAGAGCAGGGCTGGGGTGAGCACATGTAATCCTTCCTAGTCTCCATGTCCCTAAGAACAGCAGCATCTCTCCAAAAGGAGGTTTCCTATAGAAGGCAGGCACAGCCTCAGGGAGACATGTCCACTGGCAAAACAGGGAGCACAATCTTCCATTCAGTGTGGGCTCCAAAGAGCTGAGAAGCCCCATGGTCTTCCAGCCCTGGCTCCCTGCGGCTGG